CCCCCCCCCCCCCAGTGTTCTGTGTTGAAAAAGAAGAGGACCCCTGAGGCAGCTCTCATGCAGGAATGGCAGAAACGTTCTGATTGCTTTTCTGGAAAAATGGATTTTTACCCCAGCATTCCACGACACATTTGCAGGGCTGCAAGCATGGATTTTAGGAGTTGCTACCCGGCAAAGGAGCTATTCCAAACTCCAGTTCGGGGTCTGGCTGTCTAATTGTTAAACAACTTTTTGTTAAACAGCAATTCCAAAAGGACCTTCTCTTCCTTGACGCCGAGGGAGGCCGAGAAGGAAAAAAAAAAAACAAGAAACCGGGCCTTCTCAGCGGTAGCTCCTCGCCTCTGGAATAACCTTCCTCTGGAGATTCGTGCAGCCCCTTCGCTGCGCATATTTAAAAACCAACTGAAAACTTGGATGTTCGTGCAGGCCTTCCCTCCAGCTAATGCTTGATTTTTTTTCCTTTTCCTTTTTTATATTTCCTTTTTTTCCTTCTTTCATCTTGATTAACTTCTTTATTGATGTTTAAACTTTGTTATATTTTATATATGGTTATTTATGTTGGTAGCCACCTAGAGTGGTCATTTGACCAGATAGGCGGGATATAAATACAACAAACAAACAAACAAGAACTCAGAATCCAACAGAAACTGGATCAGCAGAATTAATAAGCAGCAAAACCAGAGACGAGTCCAGCTGCCCTGCTGTGGCCCGGTGCGGAGATGCAACCTCTAATAACTAACAAGACTCAGCAGTGGATCCAGCACAACATCTGGGGAGTCAGCCTTCACCCGTCCCTGCTGCAGAGCTTGGAAAATCTCCCGGATGGCATGGGCAGTTACTGGGGGATTCTGGGAGCTGTAGTGGCTCCCCAAAGCCACTTTTCTAACCTATCTCTAAGCACCTGAGTCCCCTGGGGCTTTTTTGGTGCCCTCCATGATTTACAGAAAGTGGGCTGGCCGCCCCTTGAAGAGAAGGCTCCATCGTTTCTCTAGCCCAGCGCTTCCCACCCACTCTCAGAAACCTAAGCTAGCACTGCGGGTGGTTGAGGCTTCTGAGAGCTTTAGTACATCTGGGGACCTAAGGTTCAGTTATAGACATTTGGAAGCAGGATTGGGGGGCATGAAGAGAAAGAGGAAGCTTCAACTACCGCATTTGCTGCTGCACCGAAAGCTTTCAAGGTTTACAGCAACCTGCTTCACTTTGCCCAATGTTAGGGACATCAGGGGAATCAGGTCACCAGTCCCCACAATGTCTGTGCCCCTGCTAAGTTAACCCACGCGGCTTGCACCTTCTGCATTTTCTCTTTTCTCTGACCCCCACTGTTTACCATTTCTGTGCCCTCCAACCATGCATGTAGACACCTGCCAGCCAAGGATAACAATGTGTGCACTGGGCGAAACGAACTGTGTCCATCAAAGATAATGCTACAATAAATTTGTTAAGCTTTTAAGGCGCCATGAAACGTTTCTTGTGTCTTCTCCCGAGAAGCCTTTCAAAACAGGTTTGTGACAAGTTCTGATGTTCAAAAAATAAAAATAAAAAGTAAATTATGATCCCACTGGACACACATGAAGCCTTTGGGCATGCTTAGAGTAGCTTTTGGGATCCCGGCCAAGGTTTATACCGTTTGGAAAACACTCTTAGGAGCTCATTTACCTCCTGATTTAACTGCTGGCTGATAAGCTGTCAGTGTTTCCTCTGGGTGTGCAGGACACACTTTATGCATGATGCTCATCATCCTCTCCTGCAAAGACAGCCAACACACAGCAGCCACCCTTCAAAGACTCAGCAGCCCCTGGCTCTGGAGGGCAGAAGAACGTCTGTGCTATTTTTTTCTCTCCACTATTAAAGGAGGATGTTCGAAATTTTTCTGGAATTAGAAGGCCAGAACGTATATTGTAATTTGGAAACACTCTGTGTGGTTTTATAGGATACAGAGCCTAAATAATTAAACTGCCAACTGCCCAGAGAGTGCTTTAAGTGCTATGGGACGGTATATAAGCAGCATACTTTGCTTTTTACTTATGTGAGGGTGGCAGTGGCAGGGGTTTTAACTGAATGTTGTATGGAAAGTGGTTTGAAATAACTGTTTGTATGTATGGGCAAGGAAATTACCAGAAAACCTACAAGAAAATTTGGGTCTGTTAATGAAATGATACCATTGGTCCAGACTGGCAAGCAGTGATACAGTGGAGTCAGGACTCATAGGATTGGAACCCACAGCTTTCTGAGTAGCAGGGACCACAATATCATTCAGCCGTGTTTCCTTGTTGCTTCCGAGTGCAGCAACAACCTAAGAGAAAGGGATCTCCCTAGGAAGAGTATGTTCTTCTAAGTGATCTCTGTTGTCTAGGGGGCTGGCTATGGAGACAGAGTGCCTGGGCTTCCAAATTTAGCATCGTACTGCTGTCAGCAGGTGGAGGAAGGCATGGTTAAGAGAGGAAGACTGGACATTGGCAGGAGCCAAGGACTAAAAATGATAATGTTAAATTTAAGCTTTGAGAAGCTCCTTGGGGGAAAAATGGCAGGACAAACACGGTTAAATACGTGGGGATTTGAATCTGGACATCTAGGAGTTTAATACTCCTAGACTGGGATGGACAAGTGGGTCTACTTTAGTTTTTTCCCCCACTTCTGACTTCTAGATATTCTGAATTCTTTGCATGGAATAGAATTTTGCAAATTCTGGTGAATTCTTATTACAAGCAAGCAAGCAAATTTCTCACCCATCCTATCCGTATTTTGAAATACTCTGGTGGGGAAAGCCTCCAGAAAATGCTCTTCAGTTCAGTAATAGTTCCAGCTCTTGGTAGGAGGATCATAATGAGCAAATCACATATTTAACACGTTAAGAGATTATTAGCAAGATCTTACCAGATACATTATGCCATGTTTCTCCACAGAGAATACAACAGTGTCCCGGCTTGCAAGTTAGAAGACTCTCGCCATTTCCTTCCTCACCATGAAAAAGTAACAGAGACATAAGCTAGCATCCTGTAGTGTCTAAATGGGCACCATAATAATTATTTTAAGAGTGAACCTATTGTTCTCTCATCACTTAACCCACTGACGACAATCGCAGGTTCAAACCAAAATAAATTAATCATTGCTCTGACAGCCCAAGCCCATTTGGATCAATATTTTATTGCTTCATCGGTAATAAAAAAATATGTATCCTATTAAAATAAATGACTTGCTCAACATGCATCCATTATACAGGAGTATGTTTTATGCCCAGCCGCTCACTGCTTTAATGAAGCTGGATGAAAGAACGGGTGCCTATCCTGGCTTATTAACAGGTTTACGGAATAGGGCTAGTTCTCATTTTATTCCTAAGAGTTCAACAGGTGCCATTACATGAGCTGGCCTGCCGCACTTCCTTTCCACACCACTTGGTAAGAGGCGAAGCTCCAACCCATACAGATTCTTCACCCTGTGGGTTCCTCCCCATGGGAATGTCAAACCGACATGGAAGCCCAACAGCGAGCAAAGGAAGTGTGTCATGGACTTGTCCCCGCCCCCTCCCCCCAAAATACATCTAAGGTGTACAGGACGCTGTTATTTTCTTGAGGCTTCTACACTGAACAGGCTAAATCAGAAGGGGTACCAACCTTTAAACTCTATTTACACAACTTAAGAGAACATTAAACTGGACATGTATGAACCAAGCCACAGAACAATACCCTGCTGCATTATTTCAAACTGGTAACTAGATTACCAACTATTATCAAACACTTAAATCTTCTTATTTTATTTTTTGTCTATCTTTACCTGTTGCTCAATGGGGTCACCTCCCTTACTAGACGGTTTCCTGGTTCTTCGTTTAGAGATTCTTTGCACTTTCAGCCCTTTAATAAAGTCAGGATTGGATTATTATTTTGTGGCCTCGAACAGTTAAGAAATCAATGACTTAAGTTAGATATCCCCAAAATTATTCCCAAAACACACATTTTCAGTATGCCAGACAGCATGATTCCAACTTTTATTTTAAAAATTCTATACAATTAACGTCCCATTTCTTTCTTTTTATATATATATGCAAGATATATGGAATCTCAAAAGTCAGGATCCACATTTCTAGGTGTATTCATCTGATCTAGAAGAGAAGTGGGAGAGATAAACTTTCCCAAAATGGAATGTAAAATCGTGTGGCTGATGGTTTGTGGGACCTCCTCAACACTCCCGAGGGCTTATTAAGCCACTGCATTCTGGAGAGGACCTTGCACGCCTCTGATCCCTCCTCTTTATGACAGGGAACGAAATAAACCATGAACTGGGCTGTGACATATTTATCTGAAAACAGCACTTTTATGATCATTAAATCCAGTTCTTTCTCTAGGAACAGGCCAGTGAGATGCCACGTCTCAAATATAAATGTGACAATTAATTTATTGACTTTCTTATGTAGCAGGGGAATGGGGCCGCATAAGATGCTTCTCCTCACAGCGTATGAGCCTCACGATTCTATATCTGCATTCTCTATAGATTTAATAGAGCAACCAATTAATGTGGCAGGGGATGCTGGGATTGACTTTTGGCCATGAAGCGGAGCTGTGTCTCTCTTTCAGCTTTTCCCCACACACACCAGTTTGCTTTAGATGATTTTTACTTATATACTGTTTCCCTTACTTTGGTTTACAGAGAAATAGATAAATGGCACCTTTCCTTAAGATGAGCTAAAAATTACATTTCCGTGATTCCTTTTGAAGCCAGAATGAATGATGGGTTTGTTTCTACTGGCAACTGAGCTGAGACATGGACACACCTTTGTTTCGTGATCGCGAAAGTCTGCTGTTCTTTTTATCTGCCTCCTGCTTGGCTTCACCTACGCTACTTCTGTCTTGAACTGCACTAACAACATCTCTGTTCCTCTCCCTGCTTGGGAGGATGTCCTGCCACCCTCCACTCGCTTTGGCGGTCATCTGAATGTTGGCTGTATCCACCGGGCTGGGAGCCCCGGTTCTAGTGGCACCGTCTTCTGTTTCTACTTCAAGAAAAGATGTAGCTGTTTCAAATAAGGTCTCCGCATCACTCCAACTGCTAGCTTGCCATTCATTTTTCTGCTCTGCTGACTCAACATCGTCGTAAAGTTCAGGTGTGAAATAGATACTGTCATCGCCGGCATCTGTTTCTGTAGCTACCTCTGATGTTGAAAGCTCAACGTTTCCTCTCACCGGAGAAAATGTCACATTCCGACTGTCTTTGTGAGAACAGGACGGCAGTCCCGTAGGATGTTCCTGAACAACAGAGATGATCACTTTTCCAGCAGGAAGATCAGGAGAGTGGATTGTTTCCCCAGTCGGCGTCAGGCCAGTTGGCTTGTCTTCCTCCACCAACGATATGTCCTGCAGGGAGCTGTTTGGAAGAGTCTGGCGTGTTTCATCCACTGGCCCCTTTGGCTGCAATTTTGTTTCAGAAGGGTATCCCTTCATCACTGCAGTCAGAGGTGTTGAAGCTGACGGGTTACTGAAAGACCATTTTCTACTGCTAGAGGTGGGCTGACTACTTGATTTTTCCTTCTTGTTTTCAGCAATGGACATTTTGGGTCTGGAGTCCACAAGATTTTCCTGCTTTATCATCTGAGAAGGTTGGCGAGAATCTGGAAGAAAGGAAGGGGACATAGAACTACAAAGCACAAGGATGTAGTGCAACCTATCATTTTTTCTAAGACACCACACCTATCAGGACAGAGGGTGTCCTGGTGAAAGAATAATTTATATTGGTGCTACCCAATCTTGGTGCCCTAGATGTTCTTGGACTAAAACTCCCAGAAGCCTTCACCCCTAGCTGTGCTGGCCAAGATTTCTAGGTACTGTAATCCAAGAACATCTGAGGACCCAAGGTTGGGAAGTCCATCTATCCATCCAGTTCATCAAGAAGTTTCTGACAATTGTTTTTTTTTTAAAAAAAAAAAACATTTAAACAAATACGTACTTCCCCCCGCCAGTACTTTTCAAATTTTTTAAATGGAGAATTAGAAACGGTACAATTGAGTGACTTCCAGCTCCTTCTTCCTGGGCCCCAAACTGTAACTTCGGCTTTTGTAGGTTATTCATGTTGAAGTAACTGGTTTGAATGACATGCCAGCATAGAACTGTATTTGTTAAATGCATCCACTGTGGAGGGGGAAAAAACCCGGCTGCTCAACAAAGTGCCACTTCGTTAAGAAGTGCTTAATCCCTTCTTTCCACTCAGGAACAAAGAAACCCATGTGTGTGGCCAAATGCATCCAAATGAATACAAACACACATACCACACACACAAATTCCTGCTTTCTAGCAGCAAATCAACATTGTCAAATACCAAATACTATTTGGGAGGGGGAGATTTGAAGGAGCCTGAGATGAGTATGTTTATCAAAAGGGGACATGAGTAATAAAAGGTTGATAAACTTTGCTGTATTTCAGTGGCAGAGCCCCACCGGCCTGGGACCCAAATTAGACACCTCTCATTTGAAGGACCAAGTAGGAAGTGACGGGAAGGACCTTTCTCTCTGCTTGAGATCCCAGAGAACCAACAACAAAATAGATAATACTGGGCTAGGTGGAGAATCATTATGGCCAGCTATGAACTTCCTACATTTTTAAAAAAAGATCCTGCTCTTGAGGAACAACAACTGCAACGAAGTCGAGCAAACAGTTACAAAAAAAAAAGCTCCCCAGAAATATTTTAGGACACTATATTGAACAATGTTGTTGTTGTTGTGGCTGTTATGTGCCATCACCATTCTTGCAATCCATGCTGAAACACTGCACTGGCAGTGAGCTCCAAAAGGTCCTGCCATGAACGCTCCTGCTCAGATTCTGCAAATTCAAGGCTGTGGCTTCCTTTATCAAGTCAACCCATCTCACATGCAGTTACATTTTGGGGTTTGAATAAGTTTCCCGAAGACTTACTTACTTTCTTTCATGTTGGCTATATTATGCAACGGATTTGGCACTGACGGGTTCGTTGCGACGATGTCCTTGGGAGGCAGCGTTTCCAGGGTTGATTCTTGGGGTCCTCTTTGGACAGTAATGTCTGATGACGCATTTAGAGACGTTCCCTCCAGAAAAGAGCTCGAAGCCGTGGCTCTGTATCCGTCACAGCGCTGAGGTGAGGAACCATTGCAATTCTGGTTTGTCTTAGCAAATGTTTCCAAAGAACCGAGGGCGTGATCAAAGTTTTCATGGTGCTGGATTTGCTGGCGAATCCATTTTGATAACCCTTGAAGAAAACACCGATGGTCAATGGTGGAAGAATGTCAATTCATTATTGCTATGAATTGCTATTAAATCATCATTATCATAATTATTGCAATAAGAATTCATAAGTAACTATGATGACTGACTGACTGACTGACTGACTGACTGACTGACTGACTGACTGACTGAATGGATGGATGGATCCCTATATACAATAGGACCTGGCTTTGTCATTTGAGAAGATAAGTGAAAATTAGTACAAGACATATCGTTGGCACCAGGCTGGGGATGGCAGTACTACATTTGTGAACCTAAGTTCACTAAGTTCCAAGTTACTTGGCTTTAACTGCTGCTCACAGTTGAAGAGTTTTATAGTCTATCTCACTGAGATTGCAGGCTGCATCTTGCAACATGTCTTAGACCAGTAGGAAGAAATGGCCAGCCTGGGGTCATTTAGGCCACCAGGAGTTCCCCATACAAGCCTGAGATAGTTTTTTTTTTTTTATAATCTCAAGATAATAATAATCTTAGGACTGCAGAGCTGGAAAGGACCCAATGGAACATCAGGTCCAGCCTCTGTCAAGGAGGCACCGAGGGGAAATCCAACTCCCAACTCCTGGCTCCGCAGCCAGATGCCTAAACCACCGAGCTATCCAGCAGTTTGTGTTTCCCTTGTATATGGGCACCTCCATTTTCTCCTGTAGGATCCACAACTTTCCTGTGTGTTGTGTTGTCAAGTCAGAACTGACTTATAGTGACCCTGACAGGGATCTCAAAGTAAATGAGATATTTAGGAAATGCTTTGACCCGTTCCACATCCCCTCAGTGAGCTTCCATGGCTGAGCAAGGATTTGAACCCAGGTCTCCTGACTCCTAGCCTGCCACTCTATGCTCTAACTACCCTATACTGGATATCACACAGATTCCCCACCCTGTATATGTAACTTTCAAGGCCACTAGGAAGATTGGTAGGGCTTTCTTCAGTTTCAATTAAACGCAAGCCTATTTTTTTGCATTCTCCACCTCATCTTGCCTTGTTTCAACAAGAAAGGTGTTACCGAGAATCGGTCTTGCAGGTGCCGACTTGCTCTAAATAACCACCACCGTTTGCTGCTTCTAAAATTACTGTGAAAGATTTTAATGCAAGTCAGCGCCGCTCTTACGACCTTCTCTGGGGCAAGCCAACACGGCTGTTGTGATAGAATCTGAGCACCACCTACTGACAAGACAAAGACAGTATTTCATAGAAGCACTGAAGGTGAAATAAGCGCCCTTCGGTCTTCACATTCACATCCTAATTTTTAAAGCATTTTTTCTTTCTGACAGATAATTCCTGTAGAGATGGACCCATCCACTGACTTATCAGACGTGATTAACAAATGCACACGGAGAACAGTACTGTCCCATTAAAGGCCTCTGAATCAGAACTCAGCCACAAGCTGCACATAGATTTTAAGGAATACTTTTGGGAGCACTGAAAAAAAATCTCCTTTTAGTTGATTCTTCGTTTAAGAGAAAAAGAGTAAGGTTTGCCTAATTTCTGCCCGCCGTGAGATAATCATATATCAATATTCCACTCGCTGTGTAATGCCCTGACATCATCCCGTTCAGCGCACGCTCTTTGATGAGGTGGGGGTCATCCGTATGGTTAAATTTAAGAGAAAAAGAGTAAGGTTTGCCTAATTTCTGCCCGCCGTGAGATAATCATATATCGATATTCCACTCGCTGAGTAATGCCCTGGCATCATCCCGTTCAGTGCACGCTCTTTGATGAGGTGGGGTCATCCGTATGGTTAAACTAGGAAGAAGGCAGAAGTCATGGGCAAATGTTACCTAGAAGACGGGTCCCTGGGGAAAACAATGGCTCCCAAAGGACTCCCCTTCTTTAAAAACGAAAACAGTAACATTATCAATTGGTCTTCCTGGACATTTTTCTGCCCCGCCAAGATTTCTACTTCCTATCCAAAAGCTGAGCCAGGAGTATATTCAGCACACTTATTCCACTCTATAAAACTAAGTCAGTTATGGGCTAACACTCACTGTGCAGAAAGAAGCAAATGCAAAATTCAACCTCTAATCATATTTTAGTAGCTCATAAGGCTGAGTGATAATGAATATTACAAAGGCCGTGTCTATGTTTGCCCTTCTCAAAAACTCCCTACAGACTACTTATTCATTCCCAGCGATGATTTTTATCTGGGATGGTGGCTTGTTTTGATACAACGTCAGTGTTATTTGTCATAAGGACTTCATGAGATCAATATTTTATTTACCTATTGCTGCATTTTTAACTGTGAGATTTGTATCCGCGCCAGCAAAGCGGGAAGACTAAATACGTCTCCCCACTCTGTCCCTATCATGCTTTAATTCACAATTCACACTGTTAACGCATGAGCTAGGAGGCTGCTGTGAACGGCAGGCTAAAACAACTCAGACCTGCAACGAAATGGGGCAGCGTTATTCTCTTCGCGTTAACACGGCAGAGAATGGAAGGTGGGACGGCCTTGGTGCAGCAATCCAAGAGAAGGCAGAGAAAGAGATCCCAGCCAAGAGCGAAGTGTGTCGCTGATATACCTCTCCGTAGTGTTTAAAGCACTCTCAGAGCGGCCTGTAATCCATTATGCAGACCACACAATGCCAGCCCCCATCGCCCCAGCAAGCTTGATACTTAATTTACTGACCACAGAAGGATGGAAGGCTGAGTCATTCTCAAGCCGGCTTCTTGGGACTGAACCTGGGTTGTGAGCAGAGTTTTGGCTGCAGTATTGCAGTTTTACCGCTGTGCTACGAGACTCCACAAGGGCTCAAGTGTTACAAAGGTCCGCAGGCCACACATGTTCATGTCTACGCTTTGGGGGTAGGCGGGCGGGGGCACACCTGTAACCTTTCTCCACTCCTCAGAGTTTTAGCTTTGCATCTAAAGGACTCCCTGTGACCTTAAGCAAGCGTGCACGGAGAAAAACTCACTACGCCTCTGAGCCCCCATGTTTCAGGCGCATGGGTATTTCTTGATAGGACTTTGGTAGTGTTCGAAAACCAAACACTTTCTATCACCCACGTCCAAAGCCATGAAGAATCTTACCAGCAATGTATTTATCTGGGTTCCTTCTGAAGCGGTCGTCAACTAAAATCAGTGCCCCCCAATCACTGCGGTGGCGAATGCACCTAAAATAGAAACGTGAGAAAAACAAAAGTGCTCTTATTCGAAAGGTAGTACTGTATTATTATTTGGTTCATTAAAATTCTTGGGACAGCAGAAGAAAGCATCCCACTCTGCTAGCCTGATGTTTTAGGTAACACAAAAACACGACATAGTCTCGGCGCAACATCAAGGGGTGGGAACATCTAACACCCATCATGTCTGAGCCCACTGCAATGGAAATTCACACCAAGGCTGGAAAGAATTACAGGCGGGACAAATGGAAAGGCCTCAGCAGAGTTCTGCATTCCAGCACAAACGTTCAGTGATTTATTAAGAGAGATTTGTATTTATTTCATCTCTTGGAATGGGAAAATGGATAATAGACAGGACTCTTAATTCCAACATCATGCCTGCTCTGCGAAGGGCACTCAGGAAAAACGTGTAGGATGAGCATGTTGGACTAGAACTTGGGAGATGGGTTCAAATTCCTACTTTGCACAAACTCACTTGGGGCCAGTCACACCCTTCTGACCTAATCTAAGTTGCATGCTTGTAGGGAGAGCCAAATGAGGTGGAAGGGAATGATGTGAGGTGGTCTTGAGCTTGCAGGAGGAGAGGTGGGATGTAAGTGGGACAAAGGGATAATAAATGCACCTTCCAGACCACTATGCTTTTCAGAACCCTGAATCTTCCAAGGACGAAACCCAGCAGCACAGATTTCACTGGGCTCATCTGCAAATCTCTTTTTGACTGTGGTTTGGGCAGAGGCATTTCCCCATGGAGGGTCCCTTCTTTACCGATGCTGGTAACTCGAATAAGTTCACCTCCTGGACATCCTGCAGGTGGCCTTTCCACGAAAATCTCCATCACCCAGGGAATGGGGGAAATTGCTAGCAAAATGAAAGCCAAGCTCGTGAGCTTTTTCCCTTTATTTCCCCCCGATGCGCTGCTGAGGCATGTAGTTAAAGCAAATGTGTCAGGCCCACTGGAGACCTGTCCCACACCTTTCGAGTCAAGCAATGCAGCAAGATTTCACGGCAGAGTTGCCACCTGGCCATGCGCAACATCTGCCATATTCCCTCACTCTGCAACCATCCCATTTCACGGACTCAAGTTACTTCGTAGACAGCTCAAGGAAGGCAAAAACGCCACACCGGGGACCCGCACTAGCTCGCTTTAATCTCTCTCGGAGATGGCGTGGTGTCAGCTTGTTTTCAGAGCTTGGAGAAGTTACTGCCTTCGATGGCAGTTCCCAGAATCCCCCCATGAGCTCCATCTCTAGTCTAAAAGCAAAGTAAGGGAAATCAGCTGTATTACTAAGTCTTCAGCGTCCTGCAACCAACCTTCCCATGACCCACGTCTATGTGAACTTCCACTGCGAGGCAGACCTTAACTGTGAAAGCTTATTCTTGAAACTTGTCTTAGGAATTGAGAAGGGACTGGGACTGAGGAAATTTTGCTGGAAAAGCAGGACAGAGATGGGCAAAGTTATCATCAAAATTACACTGATATAATCACAGCCAGAGGAGCCGGAATATTTGAGCACCTCAACTCTTTGGGGCTATCAACTCTCAGAGATTTGTGCAACCAGTGCTAGCTTCATTGCTTTCATAAAATGTTGAGTCCACAGATGCAGAAAACATCTCGCCCTCCCACTGGTCAAGGACGGGGGGGGGGGGGGGAATTAGATTTATCTTCCTTGTTGGCAAAGATGCGACAAGTAAGGATTGACGTCCCTAAAAGGCACAGATAAGAACAACAGAAATGGGTGGTCTTGCCTTTTCATTAAAATGTTTTGTCCAACTATGCATTTCACTTTCAGAAAAACCCAGGTTTTTTTTCCCTTTTTAAATGAATCAGCTTAATACTCCTATCAATACCATTTTGAAAACAGCATTGCTAACTCAGTTCTGCAAAGCATCCTTTCCGTTTTAGTTAAACCAGTGTACAAGATGTTTGGTCTGGAGGGAATGCAGGTCACAAATGTTTACAAGGTTGCGGATTATAGTTCCGAGTCAATGACAGCAAAAGGAAAGAGCTGTTCAGTTTGGAAACTGGCTTTTTCACTGAACAACAACAAACCCTGAAACAAATCTGTTGGGTCTTACACAGAAGCTGCTTTGTCATCGTTTTAAACACCTATTGAGGCAAACCAAAAGGCATTCTGGGGAGAGAGCGGGAAGTGTGTCTGTTTTAGCAGCTATTCCATCAACACAAGATTTCTAAAACGGGCTGCCTTCTCAGCCCCTGGAAAGCAAAACCCAGAGACCTGGATTGTGTGTCCCCCCCCCCCACACACACACCTATTCCACCGGCACTATCATGCTCTCCCTCTTTGTACGCGTTGTTCTTGGTCGTTGTGGGAAGCTCTTCTCCAACCAACGACGGACTGCAAGGGAAGAAGCTTTCTTGGCTATAGCATCTCGGCAACAAAATACTCTCTCCAAAGAGGGTACCTATGTGGACTTTTTGCTCCGGGAAAATACATGTTTGTTTTCCATGGTTCAAAATTGTTGTAAGCTGCCCAGAGACCTTTGGGTAGTGTGGGCGGCATATAAATTAAATAAATAATAACATGAATAAAGTAAATAAAATGTAGTCCTAAATTTACATTGGTCACTTCACTGCTGTTGTTATGTGCTGTCAAGTCAGAAGCAACAGTCTTTCAAGGTAAGATAGTTTAATGAATGATATTATCTGGATTGCCACAGCCACCCACCATTCGTTTCCGTAACAGAGCGAGGATTTGAACCCAGAGCCTCAGTCCATTATTCCATCCACTGCACCACACAGTGTATCAAGTAACTCCATTAACTGCTATTATTTTTATTTTTTTTAATTGCGGAATTGAGATGAAAAAAGTGATATGGGCAGTAGCATATATGGTTATTATTCAAAGAATAAAAACAAATTATGGGATATAATCTCAATTTAACATAAAGCTCCTATGAAGCATTCTATCCCTACTCACATCCCGGATGGAGAGGACGTGGACCGCAACTCCCATAATCCCTTGCTCAGGGTTATGCCGGCCAGGACTTCTGGTAGCTGAAGCCCCAAGGAATAATGCTTTCTCATCCTACCGTATGGTAACACTTTCTTGGTTTTAAATGCTTAATATCCACATTTAAGATTGATCCTTGCTTTAGTGCGAGGTTAATAAGAATGCTGAGTAAACAGCCAACGGGACTTTAGAGTGTGCAGAATCTTGTTAACAAAACACACACACACCATGGACAAAGTACAATCGTGCAGCAGTCTTATCTCTCCGGCAGGCTGCCTCCACTATCGTTTGTGCGACCTGTCAGTTGCTTTGTTTCCTCAAAAATAAGACCTAATGTGAAAATAAGCCCTAGTACGATTTTTTAGGATGCTCCTAATATAAGCCCTACCCCCAAAAATAAGCCCCAGATAAGTGAAAACCCGCCCTTCACCCTTGTGCAGCAACCGGAAGAAGATGGCATGACTGTAAAATAAAACACCCCCTGAAAACAAGCCCTAATGCGTTGTTTGGAGCTAAAATTAATATAATGCTAACTAATGCATGACAAGATCTTGGTCCAATGAATTAAGGCATACTCTCAGTCTACGCACCTGCCCAGGGCTTGGTTGAGAGCCCTGTAGGCCTGGATTTCATACCACTGGCTCCCTGATAAAAGCCCTCTTGCTTTTGAGTGTTGGTCATTGTATTTCCTCTTCAGTTCAACCTGGGGAAATGAAAACAGACAATTGTACAAGCAGTAATTGCTTAATCCATCAAAAACAGACTTACATTTTCCTGGCTACTGAACTATTCCTATCGTTTATTTATGAACATTAATAAACAACTTATATCTGAAGATCTGAAAATGGTGTACAATGACGAAAAAACCTAGAGTATACAAGAAGGCAAAACTTTCATATTATCTGCAAAGCAAATGGAAAGCTAAACACTGCTAGGCAGACTTGCAAATTGTTTTCGTTGTTGGGGTGGTGATCGTTAAACTAACTGATTTTAAAGATCCACATAAACCAGCAGAGGTCCAGGCTCCTATAGTGCTTAGGTATGTATTTTACACCTCTGTTAAGCTTCTTCTTCAGAACTGACAACTCCAGATGTCTGTTTACGTACAGAAACAATACTGAAAAGCTTTTTGTGCATCTGTCTGTCTGCAAGAAACCCACCTACTTATGGTCTACGTTGTTTTGGAAAAATAATATCCAAAAATGTTCCCGATAGCTCTCGGGTTAACAGCGGACAAGCTGGTAGAATGATTCATATACCCTCTGGTTTCGAATACCTTTTTCGTATTATTCATGCTGATGTCCTGCTCCTCACCATCTCTGCCTGGTTGCAGAAGTTCACGGCCTACCAAGTGCTGTGACACTTGCGAAGTGACAATCTCTTCCACTTTGAAGACAAATCCAATCTGTCCCCTGTCCAGCTCCCTGGTTTTGCTGCTTTTGTGACTTCCTCTTTGCCTCGGCCTGCTGGACAAGGGTCTCTTCAAATTGGGAGAGGCCATGAAGCACTGCCTGCCTCCAGGCTGAACGGTCAGATGTCAGGGTTTCCCATCTGTTGAGGTCTATTCCTAAGGCCTTCAGATCCCACTTGCAGATATCCTTGTATCGCAGCTGTGGTCTCCCTCTGGGGCGATTTCCCTGCACTAATTCTCCATAAAGATCCTTTGGAATCCGACCATCAGCCATTGTCACGACGTGCCTTTGTATTATTCATGCTGATGTCCTGCTCCTCACCATCTCTGCCTGGTTGCAGAAGTTCACGGCCTACCAAGTGCTGTGACACTTGCGACACAAAGATCACCTAAAGCTCCCTTAGCATCCTCCCGGCTGAAGAGGAATCAGCACCTCCTCTCCACATCATAGGTCGAGAGCGAGAAAGTCAGATGGGTTCCCCCTTAGGCACAACACAAGCTCCCATTTCACTCTTCAAAGGAGGAAGATAAACACTCCCGGCTGGTAAGTCCACGGGTGATCCAGTTTGTCAAGCTCAGCTCGGCATTTCAACAGTGAGGGAACCCACATGGTGTTTCGCTCCCTCGACTTCTTCATCCTCTCTACACATCATGGTAAGGCGGCCAGTCAGTCACAAACAGAGATGGGAAACATTTTACTTTCTTAAAGTGCTACTCTCTAAACCCCGGAGCGGGCATGACAACATGCTGACCTCACCACCTTGCCAATTCAGGGAATGGGACTCACACTCTGTTTTGTGGCCACAACCCCTGTTTTGAAAGCAGATGCCGTTGATTTAAAGGAGCGCCATAACCCATGTAAAGGGAAACAGCATATTTTGCTGCACTGGGTCAGATTAGGCAGTTCTGTCTGTGGGAAGGCCAGGAGGAAAGGCTGTGTGTTGCCCACCCTGAGTTATAAGCTTATTGCAGTGTTTCCAGGCTCAGTGTACCACCACCACCACCACCTAGGTAGGGGAACATGTCTGGAACACAAAGGACAGCTGGGAAGCAGCACAAGGACCTCTTGTAGATGTTCCCAGAGGATTGGCATGCTCGCCTATTGGTGGCACCTTAAAGACAAAGCCTGTGTTCCTTATTCCCAGCTAGCTTCAGCCGAGGGAATCAAAGTGGGGAGCAGAGCCATTCCATCAGGCCGGCTGAAGGGCGACCTTGCTTTTTTCCTCTACCCTCCCCCTCCCTTTTGCCTTCTGTGTTGCGCTTTTTCAAGACAGTGAGCCAGGCAGTTGTCTTTTATTTGGCGGTACGTAAGATGTTCTGGGAGACCTTTTGGCTAAAGGAATGGGGTTGGAAGCTCTTTAAACAGCCATCAATGAGAAAAATATCCTTGCAACCCCATTTTCAAAGGCAGGGAAGACGCTTAAAGTCAAGATGGAGAGGAGCACGGGATTATTAAAAAGAAAATAGCTCAGGCCTGTTCTTCTGTTCTCCAGACCCGTTCTTCTAAGAGGAAAGGGAAAAAAACCTACACAAAGGCAGGTTAATTTCACTGCTCTTTTGTTCTGTATTAACCTTTTAAAACTGACAACTGAAAGGACACGCTTCAGGAGAGAAAACAGAAGACTTCTAACCACTTCTGACAGGTAACTTTCAACTTGAGTTTGGGTAAGGATTCCTTGCTTTTTATGTTATTTTATGTGCTTTATGCCCTTTAAAAACAGCCTGTCAAATTTACAGATTCAAACTTTGCAGCCAGAAAATAAATTCAGTTTGATTCCACAGATCTAATATTTGTTACTGTCACTCAGGATTTATTGATTGAGGTCCAAAGGTTTTCCTTATTGTGTCTTGTCGTTTGTGGAGCAAGCCTTACCCGGAACAGGCCGTGAGATGCCCGCGACAATTTTGATTTCCAGATCCGTGTTAACTCTAGTGTTTCAAATGATTGCCAACACTACATATATGCACCCAGAGGGCACAACGTTAGCCATGATTAGAAGTCAATGCTGTAATATGCCCGTGACGGTGAAAACTTTGAAATGGCAGGTTAGCTGCTCGTGGTAACAAAACCATTTCCTGTCCCCATTCCAGGAAAGGAAAGTTGTCCGTTTGCCTGGGATTAAAAGGGACAGGAATGGAAGGCAGTCAAGGACAGGGGATCCAGAGTCCTGGCAGGTGTGGAGCTTCCAATGTTAAGCCCCCGTATGCCTGTGCATGTGCTCTCGAAACATAAGTAATACTCCACCATAACTGCTTGCCTGTGAAATGTCAATTTAAGGCCCCAATGGCTGTTCTCGAAACCCTTCTTGTTGCCTGGAATGTCGTTCAGTGACAGGGAACCTTTCCTACCAGCGGAAAGTCTGCAGTTCATTTCCTGGCATCTATACACAGGGCCGGAAAGGAAATCCGGGCCGTTCGGGCCATCCATGACAGATAATAGCAAAATCAATGAATCAATGGGTCTGAGTGGATACAAGGCATCTATGGAGCTTCCGTGTTTTCCCTACTTAGTACTATTTTGCTGTTGCTGACTATAGCTCTCAGAATGCCCCTGCTCCCTGGGGATGATAGGAACTGTTGGTCACAACAGGAAACTTTCTTCCCCACCTTAAGGCCTTATCCAAGACATCTGGGTAGTTGAAAATTCCCTCCCCCAGTTAATATGTGGCAGGGACCTCCTGTACAAATCCTGGTGACAGGCCAGGAGGTCTTATGCAAAACATCTGTCCAGTAGGTTTGATTTCCCACAGTGTCTCCTGAGACGGAAGCCAGCCTGTGTAGCCTTGGGCAAGCTGAAGAGCCCCAGGGTGCCCACGGAAAAGGGAAATGGGGAACCATTTCTGAGTATTGTCTACCTAGAAAACCATGGTGAAGTCACCATAAGACAGAATTGACTTGATGACATCCTAAGATGATAATTTGATAATTGGTGTGTGTGTTTGTGTGCACGTACACATAGGGGCGCAGTATGATTTCTTAGAGAAATGGACCTGTTCCTTGAGCCTCAATTGCTGATCTGAGCCACTGCACACATTGTAATCGCCTTGTAATGACTGGGAAGACAGGATATCATGATTTAATGACATTTGCAGGAGAGAAGAAAACAAAACAGACCAGCACAAAATAGGCTCCTGCACCTTACCAAGGGTTAAGCCTTCCCGGCAAACCACGTAACAGGTAAAAGGTCAGCGCACGTCACCCTAATGCAATCAGAATCCATTTCACTGTCTAGGTTTGCATTATCGGGCATCGCCATGACGCCCGATTCGACATGACATGGTGCATATGTGGAAAAGCCAGCGTCTCCTGCTAGCAAATATCCTAAATGCGCAGTAAACCACAGGCTAGAAGGGATTAGTTAAAATGTCAAAAGACAGCCCTTCGACAACTACCTGTTCATCCTTAAAAATATACTCCTCGCTATCAGGCATGCTTTGTGGACAAAAGAGCTCCAGCGAGGGAAAGAGGGGGCGGCAGAAGGCCTGTGGCGAGTCATGTCGTCTTGTTGCTGTCAGAGAGATTAGGCTTTGATCTATCTGGGAGGTCACGGTTGCGTTCACATTAGCCGGAGTCTAACAGCATTATACCTGTTAACCACTGTTTCCTTTAATGCTTAATTAGGCAGACCTCCCCTACAACTGAAAGTTAACCACCAGCTCTGCCCTCCCCCCATTTACATTTCCCCCCCCCACCATCCCACCCTGAACCCTGCACCCTACACTGCCTGATGATCCTCCACCAAGCCCCGTCAGCTGAGATTTTGAGGGGTGGGGTGGGGGGGGGGAAAGAGACAGAACAGGCTGTAAACTTTTGCTTCTTGCTCCCTGAGCCAAAGAGGGCAGAGAATGTCAGCCTGGGTCATGGTGACAGTGCCCTGTTGGGGCAGGGTTTTCTGCAGGCCAAAAAGGTAACGCGGCATTATGACGAAGAGGCTCACCAAAGGGGGAAAGAGAGATGGGTGCAGGTGGGGACGGGAGAAAGAGGCCAGATCTTCGGGGTGCTGAAAGAGGAAGGGGGTGCTGAAAAGACAGAGCGCCACCTTGTGGACTCACGGAAAACTACGATTCCAGCGACCAGGCCCTGGATATCCGAGTCCACCCTCGAAGCATGGCTACACTTTTAAAACCCATTTTTATGCCGGAGTGCCAGGCCATTTTACTTCCCACGGTGCCCCAAGGGCAGCTTTACTGAAGGTCACTGTCTGCCCTTTGATGAGACCCATGAATCTGCTGTGGCTGGCAGCTGCCCCACTCGGTCAAAGACAAGGGCTGGCCCTGGCTCCCTCAAGCCGC